TAAAATTTATTCTTTTTAGTCTGAAAATGAATGTCCTTGCAAATGTTCTGACTGGAAATATTGATTTCTTGATGATTTTAATATTTCAGAACATAGTAAAAAAGGTGAACACTATTGAAAGACAATTACATCTTGCCCTAACAAAATTCATGTGATAAGCAAAGTTTATTATGACCCAGTGGTATTTATAGAGAAAACTACAAGCAAGAAGTCAAAGAGACCAAATTGCAGGAATTGCCTTTTACAATAAATCGTCTTGCATTTCTCATATTAAAATATTAATATTAAATGTTTATAGTGAATGAGTAAGTTTAGTTTTACGCCGCGTTTAGCAGTATTCGGGCAATATCACAGCGGGGACACCAGAAATGGACTTCACACATTGTAACCGTGCGGGGAATCGAACCCGAGTCTTCGGAGTGACGACCGAACGCCTTAACAACTATGTTACTCCACTGCCAAATGTTTATAAGCTCTTGATATACTAATGGTATTTCTAAAGCCGGATACCAACTCAGCAAGCTCAATTTTAGACACCAGTATGCTGGTGATACAGTCATATACACCGTTTGATCCGAAGAATGGATTTGCATCATAGAAACGTTTATAGTTGACAATTTGAATGTTATATGAATCATTCCGTGGCTGAGAAATATGTGGCCGCAAAGTTGGAAAAACTGAATATCTAATAAGCGTCATGTGATACAACCTGTGATTTGGTTTCATGCCTTTACTGATCCAAGCCGTCATAAAGATGGTGTTATGAGCCGAAGGTGTCTCACTGGACACCATTTCTTGTTAGTGACGTGAGAGGATGAAACAAAACTATATCTTTTTATAATCCCGTCACTGTGAAGCACCTATTTTTTGGAATGTGTGGATTTGCACTGTTGCAACAACGTCCTTATACTGTTTAAATTATTTCTTAACTTTCTGTTACTAACAACCTTTCTTTTATCACATTTGAAGGAAATTATCTGCATGACTGAGTCTTGATACGGATTGTAGGTCATTCCAAATGCTATTATAGACATAACAATGTATGTCGACAATATCAACTGGTCTCTGCATAAGAAAGGGAATTGTCAAGTTACATTTAATCACTATCAGCTATTCAATACACGCACAGAAGTTGATATAGACTTAGATGCTTAAGAATTAGATTTTGCGATGAAAACCTTGAAATCGTATAAACATATTGAGTTAAGACCAACTGTCGTTCATTTGACGATTTCTGCACGTCGCATGACTATGTTGTCAGTCAAGCAGAGAGTTAATGAACTGACAATAGTTAGCGCATAATGGCTCTCGTGAATTACTATCTTCATCAGTCAATGAACGTCAACAATACAAAGTCAGTGCTAAACTATTGACAGACCTCGCCCAGATGAACACTACCTAGTCGGCTGTAGTTAACAGCATTGTTCCAACAGACATTACGAAGCCACCAGCTGTGATCAGAAGAGCGTGTGCTTAATGAAGGGAATCTTCTGCTTTCCTAGATCTACATATTTATTTTCCAAAATACGAATACTAATGTTATTAGGAGATTAGTTTTTTTTATAAATGCGTTTCCCTCCTTGTAAGAGCCACATTTGCTCTGTTGCGCTGTGACCTTAGACATGTCAGTAGTCTGTCTCATACTCCAAACTTTCCGCCCAACCCCTTCTGCAATGCAATTGTCCAAAATGAAGCCATTCCAAACTCCCACTGGTTATTAATCTCCGAGCTCACTGGGGCTAATTCAATATAAACGCAGTTATCTATTTCTATCAAAATCTTCTATTTTCAGAGACATAGCGGTTTGTATAATGTGCAAGAATCCTGAGATTATGGATCGAAACATGCTCCGGATATGCTTATTGGTTTTTTAAGACCATATCTATATTTCTGAATTTCTCCCACATTAGACAACTGATTTTAGATCTAATATTTAACTTGCACGCTGTGAAGCCTTGTTATGGAATTTGTGAATAAACGAATCATCATTCATGTTCATCATTACTAGTGGTTACATGCTGCTGTCATTTCAAATGACATTAATAATGAAATTAATTTTAGCCATCTATAACTGAAAATGTTTGACGCACATGAATCTGAATCAGGTTTTCCTCTCGAAAGAGAAACTCAATCAGGCTACCCTGACAAATAGTTCACGGATATCGAGATGAGATAATGTGATTTGGTTTTTGGTTGGTTTTATTGTTTTAGGGCGACGTGGGCCAGTAAGAGGCCTATTTGCGCACAACATATTGACTTGACTTCATATAAATCACAGGTTATAACTGAATTTGTTTTCAATTCAAACAGACAAATTGGTCTTAGATTTAGACAAATAGTATTCTTTGTATGTCCAGTTAAGTTTAGTTGGGTTTAGTTGTACGCCGCACTCAGTAATATTACAGCTATATGGCAGCGGTCTGTAAACAATCGAGTCTGGACCAGACAATCCAGTGATCACATCGATCTGCGCAATTGGGAACCGATGTTATGTGTCAACCAAGCCAGCGAGCCTGACCACCCGATCCCGTTAGTCGCCTCTTACGACAAGCATGGGTTACTGAAGATTCGTTCTAGCCCGAACCTTCACGGGTCTTCAACCCTGAAGTGCATTAATAGGATAACAATCATTATAAGACACCGTTTTCGTCAAGATCAATAGTTTGCTTGTAACATTGCTTCAATGACAACTGAGGTGTTTCCTTTAGTTGTCTCATCTCATCTCATCTTTATTCTCAAAAACCCACCAACGGTGGTACATGAGACACATAAATACAAATGAATACAATAAATGCCAAGACAGCAGGGATGTACATCGACGTTTATAATACATATACAAAGATATATTATAACTAATTGAAAAAGCGTAAATGGTACAAATTAGATTATATTTGGAGCCTTTTGGAAACAATTCTAATATATTTTGCTAAGTTACGTTGAGTGTTTGTACTTTTGGATTTGAGAAGGTTCGCCATTTTTGAGAGATTCGGCCGTTGTAGAAATTGATTTGGGATAAAAATGGGTCTTTAAGGAAATGAAGGCTTCACATTTGAAAAGATAATGGAACTCATCTGCAACTGCTGGTGAGCAGCTGCAGAGAGGGCACAGTCGCTCTTTCCTGGGTACTCCACTCCAGCGGCCATTCTCAATCGGCAGGTTATGCTTTGATGTTTGGAACATCAAAAGTTTCTGTGATATAGCTTTAGGGCGGAGAAGATATATTTCAAAATCTGGGAATTGTGTGAACCATCGATAATAAATACCTTTTGGGCTTGCCATGATATTTTTTCTCCAATTTTGAATAAACTGGTCTTTAAGGATTCGTTCAACATTTGAGACTAACCATGGAGTGGAATACCCAAGTGGATTGTTTAGAACATGACTTAGTCCAACATTATTTAGGATACGCCTGATGGAATTGAGCCAGGGATAATCGTTACAATTGATTTGAGGGTCCAATGCGATAAAATTATAAATTACTTGGGATAATTTTATTGCATCATTTGGAAGATTCAACTTATGCCAGAAAGCTATCATACGTTTGTATATCTTAATATATAACGGCTGTCTTCCAAGTTCGCCACGCGTTTAAGCTAATGAGCCTTGTCTTCATATCAGAATGCTTAAACTGGCACTGCAAATTGTTACTAAGACCCAAATCTACTTCTTCCTTTCTTACCTACAACGCTGTGTTAATCCTCCTCATCAGACGCTGTATGAGAAGGAACTATTTCTGTAATTGCTGGTTTCAAACTGCCTGAATTGCAATGGTTAATGCAACCTGATGTCAAGTTCGATTTTTACCAACTACCTGTCATATCAACAAGCCATGATCATACAATCATTTACACCGTTAAATAGAAGAAAGGTGATACAGTTTCAGCAGCAGCTGTTCCGTCTTATCATACTTTGTCATTTCAGTTAACTGGTTGTCGTCCCAGATTCATTATTTTTCGAGATTGTTTATCATGCCTTCAGGCAATTATAAGAACAGTAAAAGTGACCATCCTTATATAACTTACAGTTTGAATTGGTGTTTGAATTTGTCCGTATGGACATCCTCTTTTGCTGGCTTTCCAGTGGGAAATTCTTGATGGAAAATTCTAGCACGTTTGAAAGCTGCTGTTTTGGGATATGTTAGAAATTCGTAACAGAAAAAGTGCAATAACCAAATACTTAATGTCTTTCAGTGGCATTTAGAAGTTGTACATTGATGTCCAAGATATTTTTATGGATTAAACTTCTTTTTTCACCTGATGAAGGGACCTGGAATGGTCTCGAAACGTCGTGAGAGAAATTAAAAAAGAAGTTTAATCCATAAAAATATCTTGGACAAGTACTTAATGGTCTTAATTGGGTATTACGCCTTTACTGATCTGAGTCGTGAGGACAAATTAGTTACGATTAGCAGGCGTTCCACTTGACACTGTCATTATACCAGTTTTATGTATTGAAGACAGAGAATCGCCTAAATGTATGCCTTTTTCATAGCCATCTGACTGGCAACCACCTCTTAGTAATGTGTGGATATGCACAGTTACTTCATTGTTCTTTACTGTTCAAACCATTTCTGAACTTTCAATGAAGTTTCTCAACCACTTCGTTTTAGTACACTGGAAAGAAATTAACTTTGTGATGAAGCTTAGAGTTTATTGTTTTAGTGATCGTTCTCAGCACTTTTATTCTATGATCCTTTGCATAGAAAACTGTATTTGCTTTCAAGAAGCGGATAGCTACATTGTTGCTGATTCAGCATTACTCACCTATCTATTCACAAATATAGCGTAGGCATGTGTTTATAATCTTCCAGGACCCTGCTTTGGTGTTCTGACTTGAATGTTTGTTGTTTGGTGCCTCGTGGATACCTGGCTGGTATCCAGTACAAGTAAGACCGTGTATGCACTATTGATAAAGTCAACAAACAAGAAACTTTCAAACAGTCTGATCATTGTTTTAATATGCGAACCAGCAAGTTATTTACATAATTTGAAAAGATAACCACAAATGTTAACTTACTGACTGAAAGACGCCTGCTGTTGACAATGATTACAATCAAGTGTTTAATATTTGACCATTTATCGTTATGATCGTCATATGACAATATTATGTATTTGTTTGTCACCACCAAGGTCGGTTGTACTGTACACACGCCGGACCTATATGTCATGTTCTGACTTGAGGAACGTGTTACTGCTCCTTTGTTCCTCCCCTTCATTCTTCTCTGGTTTACTGTTATCAACCAATCCCACAATTGTCTTCACCTTTGACTGGCAAATACTTCCTCTTTCTTCAGTACCACCACCACATGATTTTGCATAGTAGGTACAATATTCGTCCATTTCTGCGATGTCTCCCTTCGCCCCACCACTGTCATTCATTGTCAGAGTAATATCGTTCAGAGGAAGACTTCCTTCAACCTCTTCATTCACGCCCTCTCTTGTATATTTCTTCATTGTGTCCTCTAATGCCTTTTCGCTCGTCTCTTCAAGACCAAAGCATGACAATGCCGTAAAAGACATCAAGATTCCCATGGCGAGGAAAGGTGGCATCAGATCGTCCTTGGAATCCTGGCAGAGGAATAACAATTTGCTCAAGTGGTTGCAGGCTTTTGCACTGCTCACAGTAATCTAATGAAATAGAATGCCTGAAATATATTCACATTTTCTTGTCATATTTTCCAAATTAAGCTATGATGTCTTCTTTTATTTGATCATCATCCACTTAAATCATAGTTAAGCCTAACAAAGAGGAATTTAAAAAAAATTGTAGTCCCCTAACGTGTCAAGGATAAAACGTTGTTGTTTGTGGAATGATTACACCTAAAGACTTTAATTGTTTTACCAAAGAGAATATCTGAGCTGCCACGATCCCTCCAGATCTTGCAGCTGTGTTTTGAGCAGCATATGCCAAGTTCCTGGAAAAGGTCAGGCAGTCAATAAACAAATACTAGTCCTCAACTGTAAACTCCATTGCAAGGAATAAGATCACTAATTATATCACTTTCATTAATATAAGGCAAACCAATATCCAAAAACATACTAAGGGACAAACGAAAGTACAACGAGTTTGTTTTTTATATCAGTGAAAATGAAAATGATCTGGTTATGTGTATTTCAACATCACTCACTTCTGCAACAGTTTGTAAATAGAAATCAGTGAATTGGTAATGTTTTCAAAACTTCAATGACGACATGAATTTTTTGTAAATCTGTGCCGAAAATCTAAATATTTTGGTTTCAAAAGATAAGATGTCAAAGATATACATTTGTGGCAGTTGTGTATTATACTGTATTGTTTTTGAACGCGGTATAAATTGTCTTTAAAAGCATGTACTTAGTGCCAGTACCTTTTCAAGTTCGATATAATACTGCTTACGTTTGATTTTTAACTGAAATCAAACATATGACAAAAGTATTTATCACAAAAACATGACAAATACTCAATTCATAAAAGAAACATGGTCAGAAATAAAAGTTATTGAGTACAAGCAAAGTATAAATACTCCTAGGAAATCCCTTGATATTGTACCAGTCACTCAGCGAGCATACAGATGCGATAAAGACATACCGAAGGGCACACTGGAAGACACTGGCTGAACATTTTATTAGGATTGTTCTTTATACTCTGTACAATTACATGACATTAGTTTAGATATTAGATTACTGAACTCTACGGATGCATTTGGAGCACGAGTGGCCATGCAGATTAATGAGCAATTTTTTCTGTGTCGTGTTGTATTCGTTTTACTCTAGCCAGAATCCGCGTCTGGAGGGTTTGAATACCATTTTCTATTACTAGTCACTTCAGCACTACAATCTACACTCAGTATGGCTATTCTCACTCACCTGACCACGGTTGGGTACTGTTCACTAGACAACGTCTCAATCAATGCCCATGCACTGACGGTGGATAATTTGCCGGAGATTGCAAATCCATTTTCTAAGGGCACTTTGATGTCTGCAGGAGCTGTAAAAAAGTACAGTGTTACAGGAAATGGTGAATGATATTATAAAGATGCCAAAACTAATATTATTCATGTCTGGTTGAAGCACGGCCATTTACACTTTCTTGAAACAGTGAGTTATTATTATTATTTAACGTCACATTGGCAATAGTTCAGCCATATCGTGACGGGAACATATGTGACATTGAAATTGAATAGATGTATATTAGAAACACCTGTCGACGAAGGACAGTAAAACAACTAGAATATCACAATTACAATTAAAACTAGAGTGGAAAATTAAAACTAATAGCACCATTTGGACAATACTATATAAAAACTGGCTATAGATCGCCAACAACTGAAGGTAGATCACCAAACTAGGGACCATGGGGACTTACAGTACTTTTGCTACCTGCATGGATCCTAGTTGGATTTACACCATCCCTTCAGCCGCTGTCGATTGTAGGAAAATTTAGCCGGCAGTTAAAAGAACGAAGATACTACGTTTAAAATATGGTAAATTTACATTTTACTTTGAAAGTTTTGGGACTTACGTACCCTCTCAGGAGGACAATAATTTTACGCTACTTCAACCCCCTTTGAGGGTACAGCCACTAACAATCTCAGTTACTAATCTAAACTACCAACAATAAAATATTCAGCTATTTACAGATCAGTCAACAAATCTAAATCTTTTAAAAATTCAACTATTAAATGATAATTAACATTATAAAAAGATCCTTCAATGTTTTGGCATTGAAATACTTATCCCTTGTGATGGAATATTCAACACAGTCAAGCAGGACATGCTTGACTGTGATTCTTTCATCACAAGGGATGCAAAACGGAGGATCTTCGCCTTTCAGTAAATATACGTGAGTATATCTAGTGTGGCCAATGCGACATCGTCGCATAATGACCTCTTCAAAACTTTCTTGAAACAAACAACACCATTCTCATTAATGTTGAAACATACCTCTTCCCTTCCTTGTACATGTTTACAACGAATGTCCTGCTGGGGAGAATTATCCCACATCTGCTTTATTTCCCACATGTTCTAGTTTCACATCAGTTTGACCAATTGTCCCAAAGCAGAATCGACACAGACAAGCATACTCACCCAGCTTTGTTACTATGGAAACACCAATACATGCAACAGCTGAGAACGAGAGCAGTATAGCGCACGCCCAACGCCGACTGAACCTGTGTGATCATAAGACCCGAGTTTTAACAGTAAACATGTGCATGTGAGAAGTTTACAGACATTGTAATATGAATACCATTTTGACACTCATAGCTAACCATAAAATAAGCATATCCATTTGTTATGAATTAATACAACAAATTAACATAAGTCAAATGAAGCCCAACGTACAACGCCTTTTCCACAAACACAAAAACTGTAGAGAATAATGCAAGAACTAAACATTGGAATAGATATGAATTCTCCCTTATTCTTGAAACTTTATGTTACTGGTTTTGTAATGTTACACTGTGAAATGGCATTTCTGAGGGCCTGTGTTATAACATCGGCTTTATTTGGCAGTAGTACCAGCAGACACAGATACACAGTACGTTCACATTTATGCTGAATAACTACTTAAAGTTGCATAAATCCTTACACTGACACCGTGAAAAGTTCCACGAAAGACATTGGAACCTCCAGTAGTGCCATGATCATCAGGTTAAGATAGAAGTCGCCTGACAGGTTCCTTACACCAAATGTTATGACATAGTACACAATGGATATAGATATCCTGAAACAACATTCATGTGGAGATGAAAGCAGATGAGTGGCATGGTGTTGCTCATGACAACACTGGTGATAATTATTGCAAGTAGAGATGTTGAATCTTTGTTGGTAATGATGATGATGATGATGATGATGATGATGATGATGATGGTCCCGAAGATGGAACTTGCAATTTAGTTGATATTTTCTTCCACAATGCAGATATATCTGTCTAAGGAATTCAAAATGTGCAAAGTATGTACCAAAGAAAGCTTGTTATCAGAGTTCTCGACCTCAGCGTCCTGGTTCTGACCAGATCTATATAGGAGTAGGATTTAGCTTTGTTCCTCTCCGCCCTCTCCTCCTCGGCGATCAGCTCCAAGATGGACATGTCTGGAACAGGCTTCTTGTTGAATTTGGCAATCCTGGTGACGATGCGCCTCGCCTCCTCAAGATGTCCTTTTACAGCTAGCCAGCGGATCGATTCTGGCATCACAGTAGCAGTAAATGTTGAACGTCATAATGAATTGTTACACCAAGTAGCAATTGACACTCACATACTGACTAGAACATTCTCGACATTGAACGCCCATGTCCATCTTTCTTGTTGAAAACAATACAGATGCCCCATATGAGAAAGAGAATGGTACATTTGGGTGTAGTATTAAGGTTATTTCATGATTTGGTTTTAAAATCAGGATTCGTTTTGCATTTTCAGTTAATATTCTTCATAGACATTTTAATGTAAGGCGAAAATGTGTAAACATTTTTGCCATTTTAAAAAATGTATTTGTGTACATAATAATTCACTTACAACCAAGTCAGCAGCAAGAGAATGTTGAATGCTACGATAGTTAGATGTAGCCATTTCCAGTTCCGGACGAACCAACATAAAATAGCAAATAGCACCACGCCGAGGGACCAGGATGGAATCGTAGTGCACGCCCCTCGCCATTTTTTCCCCACATATTCCAGTCGGTACAAGAAGCAACAGGACAATATTAATCCTACTGCCAGGCCGATGATGACTCGGATCACAGCAAACATGATCCATGACACAGAGAATGAAGCTGTGAGGTTGCTGATGGTGCTCAAGAGCAGTCCGCCGTAGACAACCTTCTTCCGTCCGTATCTGTCAGCGCAGTAGCCTGCAATTATGCTGCCGAAAAGAACACCCACCATTTGCATGGATATGATGGTGTTACTGACCCATCTCTTGCTGCACACGAGGTTCCACTGAAATTACCAAACGTTATATATACAGGCAAAATATAATATATATAATGTTTCAGACCAGTTAAGTGTTGGTCTTCTTTACACCTTACAAAAGCAGTTTGTATCAAAACGAAACGAGTGAACTCCACTGCTCAAGATACTGCACTACTATATCGATATTATTGAAGTGAGTGACTGAATTAAGGTAAGGTATATCACTGCAGGTCGGCTGACTGTGAGAGGAAATACCCCTGATGTTAGTTCTTTGATTTTGATTGTTGATTGTTAACGTCGCGCGCAGCAATATTCCAGATATATGGCGGCTGTCTGTACATACTCGAGTCTGGACCAGACAATCCTGTGATCAACAGCATGAGCATCGATCTACGCAATTGGGATACGATAACATGTGTCAACCAAGTCAGCTAGCCTGACCAACCGATCCCGCTAGTCGGCTCTTACAAGCATGGGTTGCTGAAGACCAATTATAACCGGGACCTTCAGGGGTGTTAGTCGTTTGAAGCAGTTAATGAAACCCTGAAACCAACGAGAACAAAATGATGACAACAAACCAAGGCTTCTTATCCGACCTGATCTAAGATTAGCCGAATTCAACTCAGCCAATAGCTACGTCGCAGACGAACGGATCACCCATGCCTCTATTATGTTGGATGCATTTTTACCAACCTTTAGCCATGTAGGGATTTTTAAATACCGAATATGACACAATATGACTTACCTCAGATACAATGGTTACCGTTTTCGACTCAAATATTCTCTGACAAGTCTCATTCCACTGTCAATTTTGGTAGCTTCCATTTGTAAAAATGGCGGCGTCATCCTGATCATGTGACTCACACCACCAATCGGGTTCAACACCTGCAAAGGCCATCATCATCATAGGTGGGACGCTAAGTGCTCTGCACACCACAAGAATACAGTGGATGCATCTCTGGTAGGGACCGAAACTGCCCAGCTCTTCGATGAGACTCTCAAGATGCATCGTAAAAGACGGAGGAATAGGAGTGCGGCAGATTGGTGGTACGGTTCTTCTTTAGCTGACCCTGAAATACATAAGTGTGTTGAACAGATAAGCCATAATCTCTAAATGATAGTGAGTCATGAACACATGTTGACTATGACGTCGGAATCAGGAATATTAGTCACACCATACTGGTATTGTTAGTAGTATATGGAACAGTTGTCAGCATTAGTACTATGTCTTGGAATTGAAGGTAGAACATTGGTAATAATATTTTAGTATTAATGCAGGAAAATATTGGTAACATTCGAGGTAGGCCTGGAATGTATCTAAACTAAAGTTGGTCTTTTTTGTTGGTTGTCTTTGCTATTTTAGAATCAATTGAAATTGCATTGCTGTTTAGGGGTTAAAATATCTCTCAATGGAATAAAAACAGTTTAAAAACTTAATCTATAGTTTAAGTTTTTTTCAGTATTTGACAAAATAAGAAATTGCTCGTTTTTGCTGATATATGAAAGCTGAGAATATGGGCCGAACAAAATGGTATGTGTATATTTTCATTGTTGATGTAATTTATCTCTGTGTTTGAGTAATGTTAAAGGGTAAAATATTTTTTATTACAAGTTATTTAAGTTTCATTTCAGTGTTTTGGTTAAGGGTAAATTTCAGTAAATTTATGTATATTTTTTAAAGGTTAGGTGTAGGTTAATGTAAATATTCTCTCTAAGATTTGAGATTAATTTCTGATAATATCTGAGCTGTTAAAGTAGATATATTTTATCTATTTTTCTTTGTTCATAATTTATTGGCTGTAATTCTGAGGTATGTAAGAGGTACTTATTACTGTTTATTTGTTTTAATACAGTCGTTTCATTCGTTGGTCTGAGAAAATTGTGAGAATTGTGAACATGAATATGAACTATGACAAATGAGAACATGAACATGAGAACAGGAATAAAGGACACTGGCGATGAGATGAATTTTCATTTTCTTTACTACACTGACCACATCAACTATAAGTGCATCAAATGCTCCAAACACTCAAAGATAAAAATGCAAACGATTGGCGATCAATTATATCTTTTAACTAACACAGGACATGTTCGAACACATCAAAATACACCACCACACATGTACATGTGCTGTGTTGAAAGTATTCGCGATCTGTTATCTGCGTTGAACGTGCTTTGTTCTTTGTGGTGAAGATGGTCGTCATATGTGGTCTTGGTTGAAGGTATTCAAAAGAAATGCCAATAGATTGTTAGATACTAATACTTTGTTTCTGCCAAATATCATTTCTAGAAATCACTTTTTTGAGAGAAGGGAGAGATTTCTTATATTTTATTCATGTCCCTTATCAAATCAGAATCAACTTGATTATTGTTATAAATTATACTCAACAAGAAAATTTCTTCTGACGCCATTCAAAGTGATATAGAAGAAAGAAATAACAAACAAATACATTTAATGTACATATCAGACATCTGGCTTTTGAATTTTAAACATAATCTTGGATTAGACACGTTTGTAAACGGTAAGATGACCATGTGAATGTTGTCGGACTAAAATCACAGTTCACACTCTAATACTGGGTATTACCACCAGTGGTGGTCGGCCACTAAGGGGACAGTCTCTGACGTGATTGGTTTGCTGATGTCGATGCCACAAGTTCCATACAGTGTGGACATGTACATTAAACCGATAAGCAACCTCCCGTTGTGCAGTTCCGGAGAATTCCAAGTGCCCGCCACCGTTCATTTTAAGAAAGCCTTGGCATCAAAAGAGTTTACTTGTGGTTCGAACTTCAATGTTTTTTCAGGCAACACTCATTGAACGTGTCTTTATCCACAATGAAAAAATTGATCCGCAGCTCATGTTTAAATGCCAACAGACAGTCTCGATTTTCACGAAATTGCACGTGCAAGTTCCCGATACTGTTTAGAGCCAATGTGTACGACACTGCATTTACATGACGTCAATTCTGAAAACAAATGGTCACTAATGTTTACATACAACACAAACTGAAGCCTCTATAAAATTCATTTCATAAGTATCATTTCTTTCTTTGCAATCCACCCGCGAAGGTCCGGGTTAGAATATTGATCTTCAGTAACCCATGCTTGTCGTAAGAGGCGACTAACGGGATCGGGTGGTCAGGTTCGCTTACTTGGTTGACACATGTCATCGGTTCCCAATTGCGCAGATCGATGCTCATGCTGTTGATCACTGGATTGTCTGGTCCAGACTCGATTATTTACAAATCGCCGCCATATAGCTAGAATATTGCTGAGTGCGGCGTAAAACTAAACTCACTCACTCTTTGCAATCGATGGGTGGCACATTCTACAAAGTAACTACGTTTACATAATAATAATTGAGGTCAAAACGGCTTCATGTCAGAATGGTTTTAAAAGGTAGAGTGACCATTAATTCAATTTCAAACAGCTTCACGAATATAATCTTACTACATTTTATTCATTTTGTTGACACGTGAGAACATTTCAGTAATTTGCACTTGATGTGTAATCGCTTTGACCTTTTGATTTAATTGTGTATCCTAGCTGGGTCGTTGTAACTATAATAGGATCCCAACTAAATTTATATCCACGTTTCGCCTAACATTAATAATGCTGGCACGGAATGGGCCTAGAAACTCGTAACACGTTGTGAGTGGAATGTTAATTTTCCAAATCCATATACAACCAAATCCATAAATCTGATCCAGAGTGATTAATGTTTCGCGCCAACATTCGCCAAGCTGCCAAGTGGTCAGTCCCTGCTCCCTCGACCGTTACCGACTCGGGGACTGGACAATTGTCCACATTGGCAGAATTTCTTCAACCTAAACAATGGGACAATAAGAAATTGGATGCCCATTAGATGAAATTATTTGAAAATATCCCCGGCTGTCCTTGCCTGATTGTAATAAAGTATCCCAACAGTGTAGACATTTTCGGATTTTCTAATGGGTGGATGGTATGATGACTGATCCAATTTGATTCTATTTCTGTTGGGGTTTTTTCCTCGATGTTAATCATGTCACGTAACACTGTCCTGTTTATTGACCTATGGTATTAAAAACGCTCATTTGATTTATTTGAATCCGTAAACTAAATCAACCTCACCTTGCCATTTCTAGACAAATCTGAAAATGTACTTAGGTAAATAAGTATGTACAGTTTTTAACTTTAGTACACAGCAAATGCTTACATACATTTCTTATGCAACAATGAAGTTACGTTCGTATGCTATAAACAGTATCGACCCTAAGGTTTTTAGGCAATCAAAAATGCACGCAATAAAGCGATTGCTACTACTTTGCTGTAACCCATGTTTGGTGGTATAAACCTGCACATGTTTATTTGTCATCATTCACTTGATGGTGAGTCAGTGAATTTATAACAGGGTATAATTAGGGGTAACAGCACTCAGATTACCCGACAAAGGTGTCTGGAGTAAATACTCAACATTATAAATTAAGGTCAGATGTGGCAAATGTATCACATGTGTTATGCAATATGTGCAGCAAGAGAATTTATCAACAGATTTCATCTTTGTTGGTCAATGTCAAGATGTACATATATGACTTATACTAACAAGTGCACCTGTGTCCCTTTAAATATATGACCCTACTTTATTGTAATAGGACATACACAGAATTGTTACAAGTAGAGATGACACTGTGATTTAACCATGTTCATATTCGTAATATAGAACAAACTTTATGGATAACAACTTCTTTTTATTCGTGAGTGCGACGTTTCGATACAGAGTCTTGTACCGTTGTCAAGCATAAATGCGTCGCACTCACGAATAAAAAGAAGTTGTTATCCATAAAGTTTGTTCTATATCGTACTTCCCAACTTCTAAAATGCAGCTCAAAGAAGTTCATATTCGTAATTACACATGGTGTCAATTCGCCATCAACATTGAAACACATGTAGCTCATCAAAGGCGGAAACACATACATTCCATGTATCTTGTAAACAGCAATTAATCTTAGTCTCAGTCAACAACGTCAAATACATCTAAGAGGGAAAGAATGATTTAATAATTACAGAATGAAAAGAGAAAGAGATTACTTTTGTGAAGAGCATTAAGTGACACTGAAAGTCGTGAAAGTGGCCAAACCGAGTTAATCGAACCCAGATTTATGTTTACTCATAAATTCAACATTCGACATTTGTCATGATGTAAAAGTTACAAGACTGACTGACTGACTGAGTTTGGTTTTACGCGCCTTTTAGCAATATTCCAGAAACATCACGGTGGGGGACACCAGAAATGGGCTTCACACATTGTGCTCATGTGGGGATTCGAACCCGGGTCTTCGGCGTGACGAGCCAATGCTTTAACCATTAGGCTACCCCACCGCCCCTTAAAAGTTACAAGAAGGATGACAGTAAGTATAAACATGAGCGAGACGAGGATGATATGTGGCATTCAGACATTTGACTGATTCATGTTAACGACAAGGACTTATTGCCTGCTTCCAGTGCTGGTTGCTGGAAGCAGGAACAAAACACGTGTCACATTCAAACTATAAGACTAAAACGTCTTCGAAATTTAAATACATTTATACAGTAAAAACTGCGTTATTCCAAAGTGTTTTGATGTTGTTACATCAAGCTAGCGACTAACTGCACAATAACGTGAATAGGTTATTTGCCATACCCAGGACAAACGTCAACAGTGTGATCAGGAAATAGGAGCAAGTGGGTTTGGCAGACACTTTGGTACAAATATAATTTTACGTAATAAAAAATGAGACTGAACTCTAACGGTTCGTTAAAAGAAACGGAAAGGCAACTTGCGGTGTGAACGTGCATATGTTATTTCGTTGTCGGAGCACTGACTGCGTTTGAAAGCAATAAAATGCCCTGAAATATGTTCATATTCTTGAAGCTAATCTCTGGTAAATATTACATGGCTTTTTATCACCAAGGCGTTCACATTCCATGGTATTCCAACTGGCAAATCAAACAACTGAGCAGTACCTATTTAGAGTTACAAATCACACAGAGTTAGCAAGGTCATTTAACATAGCTACCTGTTGGACAACTATCAACAGTGTTGATAAAATATGGCCAATTAGGTTCGGTAGATAGTACACAGATAATGAGGCGGAACTCTCACAGATCCATTAATGATACCGATGAATTGCAATCTAACACAAAAAACAAATAGACATAAAAGAATCAAACCAACGCGGAGTGCAATAAAAACAACAGATCAAATCTAGAAAAGAATTGCATAATTTTTGTCACAAAAATAAAAATGTTGTTTAAGAAACTGTCATCATTTATTTGTGCATTTTTCCTGTTTGTTACACGGGCGCATTGGCAACTAAAGGAACAGCGCGAAAAGCGAGATGCACGTGCGTTAACGGGTTCTCAACAAAGGTTTGAGCTGGCGAGATGACACCTACCCCAGCTGCACAGGCAGTGCGCTGAATGTATTTAGTAATTGCATACTTGGGTCACCCCCTGTCATTTTCATCCTGTAAGAAATCATAGACTTTGTAAATTATAGACTTTCATTACCTCTCACTCTGTCAATCAGCAATAATCACATGTCTCTGACGTCACTAAGGCACGTGCATCTCGCTTTTCGCGCTGTTCGTTTACTTGCCAATGCGCCCATGTAACAAACTTGGAAAACGCACAAATAAATGATGACAGTTTCTTAAACAACTTTTTTTATTTTTGTGACAAAAATTATGCAATTCTTTTCTAGATTTGATCTGTTGTTTTTCTTGCACTCCGCGTTGGTTTGATTCTTTCATGTCTATTTGTTTTTGTGTTAGATTGCAATTCATCGGTATTATTTTGTCTCAAACGGACGGTAAGCGTGACAAACGTTCAAGGGGAGATAATGTGATTTGATTATAGTCTATTGTTCCTCCCATGGGTACGTAAATTGCTTCAGTAAATATCGTCTTTTCTTTAATCTTACAAAAAAGTTACAACCAAAGAGACAAATCGGTGTTTAATTTATACGGAATATATTGGTGTATATTCAGTCAAACAAAGGAACTGTTTAGACCCTGCAGGATATACTTCACAACACGTTGTCAATCATCATAAGGCAACATGTTCATCAAGACCAATAATATGCTTGTAACTTGACCTTTTCAGTTTCGTGCCCTTTGACATACTGTATTTTACAACATTAATCATGATGGAAGTAAGTTTCATTTATTTTTGTTTGTGAACAGGACGTTTGAAGTTATTTCTGAAATACTGAAAAGTTTGTACTGCATCATTTTGCAGGAAAAATAGGTCTGCGACATGCACTTTTTCTTTTTAAATCTTGAAGAATACATAATCAGCTTTCACCAATCCAAATTTCTGCAAGTTGTCATTTATTTGGATTATTGGTTCCAACCTCTTTAAGCAACGTGTTGGCTTCAAATAGTACTCAGTAAGTATCTCTATGAAGTAGTATTGAGGAAGATATAATACCATTTTGCCTTTCATATGTAACTCTAGTACATTAACAAAGCTGTACAGAGCTTTAGACATGTCACATTTACCCACTGACATTCGCCAATATCCACTTCGCATTAACATAAACATCCTGTACTGATTCAGCATGAAACAATAAAGGTTAATTAGGGAGTCCCAGTATTTTAATATAGTCAAAACACTGGACATCACTTCCTGCCCAGGACGTGAGACGTCACAAACTACGAGAAGTAAGTAACACATAGACACATGAAGGCAAACACATAACAAGAAGACGGTGTCTTTACTATGGGACTCTCGGTACGTAGTCATAGTTTTCTTTTTACTTCATCGTTAAATATATATTTTCAATCAAACTATACATTTGTAAAGGCAGAAAGTGTGTCTACCCAGATGTTCAGGTTTCGTTTTAATATTGTGCAATCCATTTTTAGTAGAACGAGGCCCGGCCCGACTTTTCTTGGTCCGAGTTTTAGGCACTCCCAACGAGAAGTTAATGGAATTTCATCGAAGTAACGAGAAAATACTCGAAGCAACGAGCAAATACTGGAAATTTCAAGTTTTTGAAAGGAACTTGAAGCAACGACAAATTAATCTAAGGGACGGAAAAATTATTGAAGAGACGAAAAACTACTTGAAGCAACAAGTAAGAAATTTCAAGTTTTTAAAAGAAACTTGAAGTTACGAGAAAATACTCGAAGCAACGAGAAAATACTCGAAACAACGAGTAAATAATCGAAGCAACGAGAATTGTCGCTGAGCAAATATTATATTCTACAAAACTGGCAGCATTAGGTTTTCATATATGACAACCCAATACACTAGAATATTGATGATAAGTCTTCAAATGACTAGACCAGTTACAATGGTAGACACTTTACCTTTTGATTGCAGTTGTGTGGTCCCGCACTGTACATGTACAGATGGAAGTCTTGTCGCTTGATAATCCTGTCCTTATCAGCAAAGCAAGCATCTACACTGACGTAGCATCTTGTATTGTTGCTGCTGTTTCCTCTGTCAATCTCGACTGTCTGGCTTCTGAAGTGACGAAGCAGCTAAATTAGTAGTTGTAAACACGATGTCATGCAGGATCCCACAGATAAGGCTATGGTAGACGAAGTAAGGTTCAGTTCATTGTCACTCAAATGAAACATGAAACACACAATGCAACAGCACTGGCTTATTGACTAGGAAAAGTCAGGTGTTATTCAGATCAGTTGTAATCATAACTCTTTGTGTTGGGCTCAGAAGACTGGTATGATTCAGTGAAGGCTATACAGAAGTCTGGTGATTGTTATGTTCGTACAGGACCACACACCAACAGTATGCAGTATGTGGAACAGCACGCCATTCGCACGTGACAACTGCACGTGTTTTGCGAACTCAGTACTGTCTTTTCTGCAATAAAAGCTTGTCAAAAGAAATATCGGTAGCGTATCTTGCGATAGTAGTTATTTAACGGGATATACACAGGCAGCCTGTAAAATATTCTGATAGGAATATGCTAGGAATATTCTTGGCGTTGCTATTCAGATAACTATAAATGCAGATAATAAAATATGCATGTCATTTAAAACTATTTGCCATTTCATCGGTACTATTTTGCAGCAAACGGACTATTGTATAAGTCAGATGTTATTCAGGTCAGTTGTAATCATAACTCATTGTGTTGGGCTCAGAAGACTGATATGATTCATAGAAGGCTATACTGAAGTCTGGTGAATTTTATGTTCGTACAGGTGTTTTGATGAGACGCATCATCATGCGGAGTTAGACAATAATGGTAGAGCTCATGTAGTAGTTCCAACGGCATTTGGGGATGATATTCTCAGTATAGCGCATGGTAGTTCGTTTGTTGTCCTCTTGTTTAGACTAGGTAGTACTAACATATCAGTTCGGCCAGGGATAAATCGTAATGTAACGACTTGCTGTGGATTTTGTCATTTCTGTGAGGTGAGTCAGTTGACTTGCTTACAGTGACGTGTATCAATGCCAGGGTTTTTCCCACTGTGTAGGATCACGAAGTATGACGGGGCTACCTACACTTACTCTGATCGAGGGACGGATTTTATGCCTAAATTATTGCAGCAAGGTTCTCATTTGATAAATGTCAGCTCAGACTTAATGCATATCATCCATGAGTTCCATGAGCTTTAGTGCGTTTTCATCAGACTTTTAGAATTATCCTGAGGTGCATTTGTTCTGAGCATAGAAAAGGAGACCAAGTTCTATTAACGTGTCATTTTGGACTATTTCTTGCCAGTAATGTTTAGTGCTGTAAATCTTGTCATGACTGTGAGGTGGCAGGGAAGCCCATTCAAATGTTTACAGTGACGTGTATCAATGCCAGGTTCCCGGAGGTTTTCCCACAGTTTAACCAAAGTATGACACACACCGTCCATTGAGCTCCGGCAGATTGGGGTTGGTCACCAATATTCCGGATTGGTCAAAATCCAACATGGCGGCCACTCGGCGACTACCACCCGTTTTTCCCAGGGAGTTGAGTAAGGTGTTGTTTTTGATGCCAGCTAAGGTTTACATCATTCATTGGAATACTTTTCTATCATACGATTCCATGAACTCCAGCTAGTATGTGCATTATCATAGATAAATTGTCAGGTTTTTCGTGTTGAATTTCAGATTCCCACAAAAATTGGTGTATTATTGCTTCTTTCTTGATAACGAGCGACAGTTGAAACTGTCACCACGCACAATTGTAGGGAAAAAACCCTGCTACATGGGGAATACGGTATCGTTGAGACAAAGTACTTCATTTGGCCGTAGAAATGCGTTTTCCAACGCCTCTCAATGCTAGTAGTGTACGGGTTGGTTTGGCATACACTGCAGGGTTGGTCACTTTTTCTAAACAGTTGGTGTACGGGTTGGTCATAACACTTTTCTAAAGATACTTGTCCTATTTTACTGTGAAGTGTGAATTCAAAGACACATTTGTGATACTGCATAACCCAAAAGTTATCTCAGTTACTTTAAGGAGACTTTCCACAACTTTCGCACGCTCAGAGGCACAGATGTCAGTTTGCTGCCTTGACCATATCTCAAAGTATATAGCCTAAGTGAATTAAAGTGTGAAAATGTTGACATAAAAAAACTTTTGCATATGTTATAGGCATAATTAACATCTTGACAATCTAATGGAAACTAATTGTAAGCATGTCGCATAACTCCTTCGTGACATTTAGAGGAACATACATGCACTCATTTGGCGTCACCCATGGGCAGAAATCACTCGATTCAAATATTACTCTCTGGAATTGCCAGATATTTTTCCATCTTTTTAAATCTGGACATGCGCGACGCTGAGTAAGTGCCTGATCATCTCGATCATCGATCGCATGTACTACAAAGCTTTGACATAAACTACCGTCCAAAAGAAAGTATACCACTAGTTTCGAAATGGAATTCAAAAACAACAAAAATGATTTCAACAAAATATGTTTTATATTTCATTAGAGTATTCATTTCTGCATTATTTGAACATAAACACAAGTCAGAAATTACAATGATAAATAAATGAAGAGGAAACAAACACATGGAGGGCCCAAAATGGATCCTAACAATAAAACTGAACAAACAGAAAGTTTGTCAAAATGCCAGGTACACAATTTAGAGCCATGTACTGCCTCCGTAGCGACTATGTCCTCCTTAAACATTGACACAAGCAACAATACGTCGGCGCATGGATGACGTCAAGCGTCTAATGACGTTGCGTGGAATCTGTTGCCAAGTGTCATTTAGGCACTGTCCCAGCTGTCGCACGTTGACTGGGGTTAGGAGCTAAGCGTTCTCTAATACGTCTGTAGACACGTTGACGGCCATCAGCTGTGAATACGCAGAACCTGCTCTCATCCGAAAAGAGGACACGTGACCAGTCTCGGACTTGCCAACGTCGAACTTGTCTTGCCCACTGGAGCCTGTTACGCCGGTGTTGTTGTGTCAGTACCACCCCACAGTATGGACGTCGTGCTCGAATACCATGTTCACGCAGTCGTCGTCATACTGTATGTCGACTGTCGACTGATACGATGTCCGAGTGCCGTTGTTGCCGTTCCTGTTGCCTGGATGAAGCGGTTCCTGAGGTGCAATCAGGTCCTCGGATGTAGCGGTCCTTCTGGGGTGTGGTCACCCGTGGTCTCCCACTTCTCGGCCTGTCTACTGTGTGCCCTGTCTGGCGGAGACGCTGAAACAACCTGGTGATACATGCCCGGGTGCAGCCAAGGTGCTCGCGATGAGGGCATGTGACGTTCCTTGTTGGGCCATTCCTACAGCTCCCTCTCTCTCTCTGTACTGCTGTCAGGCGTGGCATTTTTCTTGTGTGCTTTTTTATTTTGTGACAATACCTTGTGTCATCAGCTGCTTTTATACAGTTTTTATGCACGTGCATTTTGTGGAGCACGTGCATGTTACTTTTTTCAGAAAATGAGCGCTTGAGCGAGACAGTTCGCGAGACGAGAAATTTGTCATTACACATAATTTGCCATTACCTTGTCACATATTTCTGTACATTTTCCTGGATCTAAGGAAATTGAGATTTTCAACGGCGAACATATTTGGTATACTTCCTTTTGGACAGTAGTATATTTTGGGGACATCATGGAAAGATTCACCCAAGGCCCCCACAGCCATTACACTGCTACAACAGAAAAAAAAGGAAGAACAATTTTCAATGATCTATCATTTATGCTTTCTCAGGATACTTTAAATGTGACAAGACTAGATTCACTGTCACATATCAACGGAAACAACTCTTGTAATAACTTTAAAACAATTTGAAAGTCCTCAAAAATAGCATCTGTGTCTTTGTTTTTATTGTCATTTATCAATCCAAAGAATTTTCTGGGAAAATAATTGTACAAATTTCATTAACAGAACAACAACAAGTCTATTTACACCAATTATTTTTTCTACTAAATTTCACAACCGGTTCCAATGTTCACAGTCCCAATTTTGAGGGATTCAGGAAATATTAATCTACTTTTATTGAATGACAACACATTCAAGTGCTATGACCAAACCGTATGCCGTCAAATGACCAACCCGCCCACTACTTACAAATGAGACGTGACCAAACTGTACACTCAACGGCGAGGGGTGCCTCACAAGACGGACAATTCCAACAATTGAGAGCAAATCTGGTAACTCTGAATATGGCGCACTGATTGGTAAGATATCAAAGAGTATTTCTCAAGCTATAATACACGTTCCTAATAACGATAATCCTACTCTTTGAAAACAGTGTGAACATTAGGAAACTGATTACTTAATAGAGCAATTGTCATTAAACCACATATATTTCAACAATTGATCTGCTTAGTTGTCGATGTCTGAAATTATAAAAATGTTAAAAATGAATATTTATTACATCTTTTGCCCAGTCCAAGGCTCGAAGCGCGATGTGGCCGCCATGTTTGATTTTGACCAATCCGGAATCTCGGTGACCAACCCCAAACTGCCGGAGCTCAGTGGACGGTGTGTGACAGGGATACCTAATGACAATTTTTCTCTGATAAAGGGACGAATCTTATACTAGATTATTTCAACAAGTTATGTTTCTTATTGGAGCAATGTCAGGTCAGATATATTGCACACCATCCAGTTCCATGAACTTTAGTTCGTTTTTCACCAGAGTTTGAAAATTGTCTTAAGGTGCATTTGTTCTGAACATAGAAAAGAGGCCTTGGATGTTGGAATCCCATATTTGCATTTTGCTTCTATGGATGCCGGACAGGAACTACCAGGTTTTTGGATTATGGTCATATTCCCAAAGTCCACTAAAGTTGATAAAAGACAAGTGGTAAAACGGTACTCGGACTTCTAGGAATCGAATTTCCTATAGGGCAAGTATATTGAAAAAGGCTCTGCAAAAGATAAATTAACCGAGCAACTTTTGTTTGCTAATTACTTATAAGGTTCAGACTTTGACAAAAAGGCATGTACAAGACGATTTAAAGCCGGGAACCAAGTCAGCTCATCCAAAAGTGCTCCGAAAAAGACCAACTGCTTTGGGCCTTTCATAGTTAAACCCCAGGACAATAATGCAGGTACACCAGGCCAAGGCAGGGGATTTGAAAGTGTACCAAGTGACACCCAGTTAGTGCAGTCACACACAAAGAACAAACCAAACTTCAAACTCACTGATATCGTTATCTTGTTCCCAGGTAGTGCTTTTACTGCCATCGCCATGGTGTCAGACACAGACATGGGCAATATCAAGCCAGTCAAGCAGCATCGCAACAGCCTCGAGCTCAACCCTCGGAAGGGGAAGGCTTACTCAAGGTAAACATGGACACCATACTGTCACAAGGAGTGATGGGGCCTAGCAACAGCGATGGGGGTAGTACCAGATTCCTCTTACTGAACACATGAAGAAGGAGTGCAACAGTTCCGTGTGATGCCCATCAGTTGAAAGATGTAACGTTTCAGCATTCTGTCATGAATCTCGTGGACATCTCTGACGTCCGGGTGTTCTGGAACGGCTCATTACTCTATGAGAAGTTCTAGATAGACTCCGGACATATTACCTCATGGTGAAGGCAGTCTTGCAATGGTGATTTTCGTACTTCATACTGTCAAATAAGTAAGCTGCGGGACTGACTATGTTTATGGCATGGGTTATCATCAGTATGATGGTGATACAATCATATACACCTTTTGATCCGAAGAATGGATTTGCATCATAGAAACGTTTATAGTTGACAATTTGAATGTTATATGAATCATTCCGTGGTTGAGAAATATGTGGCCGCAAAGTTGGAAAAACTGAATATCTAATAAGCGTCATGTGATACAACCTTTGATTTGGTTTTATGCCAATTTTTGTCAATTCAAACAGACAAATTGGTCTTAGATTTAGACAAATAGTATTCTTTGTATGTTCGAGTCTCATCTCATCTTTATTCTCAAAAACCCACCAACGGTGGTACATGAGACAAATAATTGAATACAATAAATGGCATGCATGATAGCAGGTATGTACATCGACGTTTGTAATACATATACAAACTTAAGATATTCTAATTGAAAAAGCGTAAATGTTACAAATTAGATTTTATTTGGAACTTTTTGGAAACAGTTCTAATATATTTTGCTAAGTTAAGTAAAGTGTTTTGATTTGAGAAGGTTCGCCGTTTTTGCGAGATTGGGCTATTGTAGAAATTGATTTGGGATAAAATTGGAAATGAAGGCTTCACATTTAAAATGATAATGGTACTCATCTGAAACTGCTGGTGAGCTGCAGAGGGGGCAAAGTCGCTCTTCTCTGGGTACTCCACTCCAGCGGCCAGTCTCAACCGGTAGGTTCTGGTTTGATGTTCTGAATGTCAAAAGTTGCTGTGATATAACTTTAGGAAAGTGAAGATATATTTCAAACTCTGGGGAGTGTTTGTACCAACGATGATAAATAGCTTTTGGGCTTGCCATACTGATATACCAAAGTTAGTTTTAAATACTACAAGCTGGCACACATTCGAGAGCTTGCCACCAATTTACAACTCTGTTGAAAATATACCCGTTTAAGCTAATGAGCCTTGTCTTCATATCAGAATGCTAAAACTGGCACTGCAAATTGTTACTAAAACCCAAATCTACTTCTTCCTTTCTTACCTTCAACGCTGTGTTAATCCTCCTCATCAGACGCTGTATGAGAAGGAACTATTTCTGTAATTGCTGGTTTCAAACTGCTTGAATTGCAATGTTCAATGCAACCTGATGTCAAGTTCGATTTTTACCAACTACCTGTCATGTCAACAAGCCATGATCATACAAACATTTACACCGTTTAATAGAAGAAAGGAGATACAGTTTCAGCAGCAGCTGTTCCCCCTTATCATACTTTGTCATTTCAGTTAACTTGTTGCCGTTCCAGATTCATTATTTTTCGAGATTGTTTAGCATGCCTTCCGGCTATTAGGAACCGTAAAATTGACCATCCTTATATAACTGTAATTTTGAAATGGTGTTTGAATTTGTCCGTATGGACATCCTCTTTTGCTGGCTTTCCAGTGGGAAATTCTTGATGGAAAATTCTAGCACGTTTGAAAGATGTTGTTTTGGGATATGTTAGCAATTCGTGACAGAAAAGTGCAATTACCAAATACTTAATGGTCTTAATTGGGTATTACGCCTTTACTGATCTGAGTCGTGAGGACAAATTAATTATGATTAGCAGGTGTTCCACTTGACACTGTCATTATACCAGTTGTATGTATTGAAGACAGAGAATCGCCTAAATGTATGCCTTTTTCATAGCCATCTGACTGGCAACCACGTCTTAGTAATGTGTGGATATGCACAGTTACTTCATTGTTCTTTACTGTTCAAACCATTTCTGAACTTTCAATGAAGTTTCTAAGCACTTCGGTTTAGTGCACTGGAAAGAAATTAACGTTGTGATGAAGATTAGAGTTTATTGTTTTAGTGATCTTTGTCAGCACTTTTATTCTATGATCTTTTCCATAGAAAACTGTATTTGCTTTCAAGAAGCGGATAGCTACATTGTTGCTGATTCAGCATTACTCACCTATCTATTCACAAAATTTATAGCATAGGTATTTGTTTGTAATCTTCCAGGACCATGCTGTGGTTTTCTGACTTGAATGTTTGTTGTTTGGTGCCTCGTTGTTACCTGGCTTGTATCCCTTACAAGTTAGATAGTGTATGCACTATCGATAAAGCCAACAAAAAAGAAACTTTCAAACAGTCTGATAATTGTTTTTATATGCGTACCAGCAAGTTATTTACATAATTTGAGCAGATCACTACAAATGTTAATTTACTGACTGAAAACGCCTGCTGTTGACAATGATTACAAATCAAGTGTTTAATATTTGACCATTTATCGTTATGATCGCCATATGACAATATTATGTATTTGTTTGTCACTACCAATGTCGCTTGTACTGTACACACGCCGGACCTAGGTGTCATGTTCTGACTTGAGGAACGTGTTACTGCTCCTTTGTTCCTCCCCTTCATTCTTCTCTGGTTTACTGTTATCAACCAATCCCATAATTGTCTTCACCTTTGACTGGCAAATACTTCCTCCTTCTTCAGTACCACCACATGATTTTGCATAGGTACAATATTCGTCCATTTCTGCGATGTCTCCCTTCGAAATGTCATTCATTGTCAGAGTAATATCGTTCAGAGGAAGACTTCCTTCAACCTCTTCATTCACGCCCTCTCTTGTATATTTCTTCATTGTGTCCTCTAATGCCGTTTTGCTCGTCTCTTCAAGACCAAAGCATGACAATGCCGTAAAAGACATCAAGATTCCCATGGCGAGGAAAGGTGGCATCAGATCGTCCTTGGAACCCTGGCAGAGGAATAACAATTTGCTAAAGAGGTTACAGGCTTTACACTGCTAATAGTAATAGTGCAGTTAGTAAGAGGCAGGGAAAAACAAGATTTGTATTCATGAAGAGGATGATTTGAGGAATCTAATGAAATAGAATACTTGAAAGTATATCCGCAGTTTCTAGTCATATTTTCCAAATTAAGCTATCAACTCTTCTTTCATTTTATCATCATCCACTCAACTTATAGTTAAGCCTTCCAAAAAGGTATTTAAAAACTGTAGTTCCCTAACGTGTCAAGGATAGAACGTTTTCTGTTTGTAGGGTGGTTGCATATAAAGACTTCATTTTTATTACCAAAGACACCAACTGAGCTCCCACGATCCCTCCAAATCTTGCAGCTGTGTTTTGAGCAGCATATGCCAAGTTCCTGGAACAGGTCAGACAGTCTCCAAATATTCAAGTGATTTACAATGAAAAAAACCACTAGTCCTCAACTGTAAACTGCTTTGCAAAGAATAATATCAACAAGTATATCTACTATCACTTTCATTAATATAAGACACAACAGACTAAGGGGCAAATGAAAGTACAAAGAGTGTGTTTTTTATGTCAGCGAAAATTAAAAGGATGTGATTAAGTCTATTTCAACATTATTGATTTCTGCAACAGTTTGTAAATAGAATTCAGTGAATTGGTAAATTTGTGCCAAAAATCTCTATATATTGGTTTCAAAAGATAAGATGTCAAAGATATACTATTGTAGCAGTTGTGTATTATACTGCAACTGTCTTTAAAAGCATTTATTGAGTGCTTAGTGCCAGTACAGTTACTACTAGTTCGATATAATACTGCTTACGTTTGATGTTTTAACTGAAAATCAACAACCAAGGGGAATTTACATTTACCAGATTTTTTAGATGTAGCATTTTTGTCATTTTAAGTTTGACCAAATTTGACTACAATCGTCAGCTGCTGAAGGGTTGATATAAATCCGTCTAGTGTCCAAGCAGGTAGCAAAGGTACTGTAAGTTCCCATGGTCCCTAGTATTGTGGTCAGCCTTCAGCTACTGGTGATCTATAGCCCATTTTTATATTGTACCGTTGTCTACAGTGATATATATTTATGATAGCGTACTATTTTTAAATTAAGAACTGTGATACTCCAGTAGTTATACTGTGACAGGTTTTTACGTTCAAAATTTGTTCATTTTAATATTGCTATAAATGAAACTGTTCTCGTCACGATTGTTCTTTGTACTCTGTCCATTCACTTTATACTCTGTCCATTACCAATGAGGTGTTGTGTGGTCCTGTGCAAAGAGATCTGGTCGCAAATCAGGTGAAGTTAATTATTATTATTTACAGCTTAAGATGAAAAATGCATCAGAGAGGGTTCGGGTGATCCTCGCCTAGTCAGGCTCGTAAGGCTCATTATCAGCTCAGAACCCTTGCCCCCTCTACACGCAGCACAGACAGAGAATGGAACTTCCAGGGGCGGGGCTATCACTGTAAAAAATAGCCCGGACTTATACGTGATTGTTGCTGAAAGGTTGGGCAAGCCCTCAATACTATCTAACATAAAGCTTTGCAACCTATTGGGTTTACACGACAAAATTGGCTTGCTACGCGCCTGACTTCTCCCAGGAAACGCTGCCTCGTCGAATCCACCAAGAACGTTCCGGAAAATATGAAGACTCCCCAATACTGCAGCCTTCTGCATTACCCAGAGTGACAGAAGGGCTGTGCTCCCGGTGGAGAACCCGGATACTCTCTTGATCTGCGCCAAGAGATCAGAAGGTACCAAACCAAGGGCACTGAGAACAATGGGTAGTCTGATGACAGGGTGCTTTTCTGAATCTTGCCAATTACGTTGCTGTCAAAAGGGACAGAAAATTCAATAATATAAATAAATTCATTGGCGTTTGTTGGCTGGAATTCTTCTGAAGCTGTATATGGGCCTGTTCCAAAGAAACTTAAAAGCATCATTTTCCATGACGCCCTGGACATGTTCAGGGTCGTACCATGGATGGACCTCGGAGTCAAAGCCACAGGCGTGGCGAAGACGACAGCAGAAGCAACGAGCCATGCCATCATGTCTTTTAAGATATGCTGTTTGTGCCAAGGAAGGGCATCCACTGACAAGGTGTTGGACAGTCTGTAAATTCATTGCAAAGACGACATCTCATGCACATTTTTCCTTTTAGAATCACATTTAGGCGATTGTTAGTGGGAAGTGACTGGTCTTGGGCAGCAAAAAGGAAGCCCTCCATTTCACATTTAAGACCGACTTCAGTCCAGTGTTAGTCCAATCAAGTACCCCAAAGGAATAGGAAAGGATTGGCACAGCAAAGGGTATTGGTGGCCTTGACCTTGTTTCTAGCATTTAGCTCTCAGCTCCAGATTATCTTTAAGCGACTTTTATACTTGGCCCAAAGTTTGTCTTGAATCTGAGCATTCTGGAGCTTGTCTCGAACTTGCATTCCAAGGTAGGTGTAGGCCTGGTCTTCCACAAGATGCTCAATACCTCTTCCCCCAACCCCCAGACCCCCTGTAACTTGACCGAACTATCATTAATTTCCTTGCCACGTTTTAAATGAAGAGTATTACACTTGTCGCGTCCAAATGTCCAAGCACTACAATCTACACTCAGTATGGCTATTCGAATCACCTGATCACGGTTGGGAACTGTTCACTTGTCATCGCAGCAGTCAATACCCATGCACTGATGGTAGATAATTTGGCGGAGATTGCAAATCCATTTTCTAACGGTACTTTGATGTGTGCAGGAGCTGTAAAAAAGTACAGTGCGTGTATTTACAAGAAATGGTGAATGATATTATGAAGATGCCCATCATGTCTGTTTGAAGCACCGCCATTTACACATTCCTGAGACAAACAACACCATTGTCATTAATGCTGTAACATGCCTCTTCCCTTCGTTGTACATGTTTACAATCCATGTCCTGCTGGGGAGAATGATCCCATATCTGCTGTATTTCCAACATGTTCTAGTTTCACATCAGATTTACCAACTGTCACCAAGCAGAATCGACACAGACAAGCATACTCACCCAGCTTTGTTACTATGGCAACACCAAAACAGGCAACAGCTGAGAACATGAGCAGTATAGCGCACGCCCAACGCCGACTGAACCTGTGTGATCATAAGACCCGAGTTTTAACAGTAAACATGTGCATGTGAGAAGGCGGGTGGACTCACGTTATTGGCAGTCCAATTTGTCTGTTTACAGACAGTGTAATATGAATACCATTTTGACACTCATAGCTAACCATAAAACGTGTATATCAATTTGTTATAAACGTATAAAACGAATTAACATATAAGTCAAATGGAGCCCAACTTACGAATCCTTTTCCATAAACACACAAAATGTAGAGAGTAACACAAGAACTAAACGATGGAATAGATGTGGATTTTCATCAAATTTTATGTTACAGATTGTGTTATGTTAAACTGTGAAATGGCATTTCTAAGGGCCTGTGTTATAACATCGGCTTTAGTTGGGAGTAGTACCAGCAGACACACATACACAGTACGTTCACGTTTATGCTGAATGGCTCTTAAAGTTGCATAAATCCTTACACTGACACCATGAAGAGTTCCACGAAAGACATCGGAACCTCAAGTAGTCCCATGATCAACAGGTTGAGATAGAAATCGCCTGACAGGTTCTTTATACCAAATGTTATGGCATAGTACACAATGGATATAGACATCCTGAAACAACATGCAGATACGTGGCATGGTGATGCTCATGACAACACTGGTGATAATTAATGCAGGTGAGACGTTGGATCTTTAGTAATAATGTTGATGCTAAGAAAATGCAGCTGCTAAAGATCATGATGAGTGAGTGAGTGAGGTTAGTTTGACGCCGCACTCTGCAATATTCCAGCTATATGGCGACTCTCTGTAAATAATCGAGTCTGGACCAGACAATCCAGTGATCAACAGCATGAGCATCGATCTGCACAATTGGGAACCGATGGCATGTGTTAACCAAGTCAGCGAACCTGACCACCCGATCCCGTTAGTCGCCTCTTACGACAAGCATGGGTTACTGAAGATCAATATTCTAACCCGGACCTTCACTGGTCGATGATGATGATGATGATGATGATGATGATGATGATGATGATGATGATGATGATCCCGAAGATGGACCTTGCTCTATCGTTCACAATTTAAGTGAGATTTTCTTCTTCAATGCAGATATCCGTTTAACCCTTACCTTGTATGCTTATGAATATTACTATTCATGCGCACATGGGTCATAGAGTCACGGGCATATTGCCGTTTGGTGTACATGTTACTAATATTAATCTAAGGTCTTCCCTTGCTGCCAGTCATCAGTAATAGTCATGTAATTAAAAATAAATATTCAAAGATTTACAGGATTTATGTTCAAAGTTCAAAGCCCAGTACTGAGAATATCGACCCTCGGGTCCTCCAAGGTGGTGAGGGGAATAATGTCCATCAGAGACATGCTCTGACCCTGGGTATAGGGCAAGGAGGGGAACAGGCCAAACCAAATATATGGCCCATCAAACAATCCCATTTAGCCAGGGGAATGACACACGTGAAACTCCATCTATCCAAGGGACAGTTATATCCAGGTCCCGTCGCCCTCAGCCTGCACGAGATGACAGTTTGAGGGACCGGGCATTGAAATGCAGGGACATCTCAGATAAAGAGTCAGAGGAGGAGGAGGCACATCTGCACAAGCGGAATGTAAGTGACTCCGTTGGACTTCCGACTTCAAGCACCCCTGTTGGACCTAGAGAGAAGATGTATCAAGAAGATGGGACAGAATATGGTTTGTCCAAATATGCAGAGGGGTACCCTAGAGTTATTTATACCCAAAGTGATTACCCTGTATATGGAGATACCAGTGCCCATTCTTATGGCAGCCATCAACGCTCCCGATCAGATAGGTCTAAGATGTATGGAGACTATATTCAACACGATCCAAGGGAGCATTATTCCGTAGAAGGCCCTAACCAATGCTACACATCCTGTGGCCCGCATACCAACCAGTTGCGGGGAACTCCAGCCACTCCAGGATCATTCTGGATATTTTAAAGATGATCCCGCACATGCCCCCAGAGATAGGCAAAGGGTGTGTAAACCTCTTCCTAATCAGAGGGTAAAAAGGATACAGAGAGCTCCTCATCGTTGTTGATCTGGCTTGGCTTGCAGGTACTGGATAAAGCTGCAGCGCCCGCATGGGTACAATGTGTGCAGCTCATTTCTGGTGTCCCCCGCCACGATATTGCTGGAATATTGCTAAAAGCAGCGTAAAACCGTACTCACTCACTCACCCTACATGTTCTTAAAAGAAACAATCTTTTTAACCATGACGTCAGTCACAAACAGTTTGAACACAGCATCATCATAGATGATATGATCCGCATTGACCACCCGTTGCAATGGATCTCGTAGGATGTTTCAGGTAGGTGTTTTGACTGGTGGCAATGGAGTGATGGACATCTACTGCCATCTTTTCCACCCATAAACCTTTGTCCAGGTTCATGATTATCAGCAGTGTTTTCCTGCACTGTATCACTGGAAGTGGGCGGCACAAAAATCCTGTCTGATCAATTGTCTTCTGTGAAAAGTGGTTCTGCTTCATCATTGGCCTCATAGTTGCTTAAACTGGCCAAAATCTCATTCAAACCTTCGTGGCTCTTCCTTCGCTTACTCATTTTGATGTAACAAAAACCTACTACAGTCCACTAAATGCCTGGACTTTTCGGATGTAGACAACAAAACTTTCAGCAATGTCTCCGGGCCTGCCAGGCCCATGCATGCACTTACCGTGGGTAAAAACTTGATACTGACCGACAAACATTAATTAGTAATTAAGTGTTGATGAAGACGTTTTTGAGACAAGTTTAAACAGAACTTGAGGAATACATAAATTTCAGCTGAAAGTTCTAATTCGTTTCTAGGACATAGGTGCTGAAACAGGCCCCCGGGACACAAGGTACGGGTAAAGTAATTGCAAAGTATGTACCAAAGAAAGCTTGTTATCAGAGTTTTTGACCTCAGTGTCCTGGTTGTGACCAGATCTATATAGGAGTAGGATTTAGCTTTTTTCCTCTCCGCCCTCTCCTCCTCGGCGATCAGCTCCAAGATGGACATGTTTGGAACAGGCTTCTTGTTGAATTTAGCAATCCTGGTGACAGTGCGCCTCGCCTCTTCAAGATGTCCTTTTGCAACTAGCCAGCGGAGTGACTCTGGCATCACACTAGAATTAAATGTTGAATGCCATTTTGAATTGTTACACCAAATAGCAAATTACACTCACATACTGACTTGAACATTCTCGATATTGAACTTACAACACAAATACTGTCGACACCCATGCGCATGTTCCTTGTTGAAAATGATACAGATGCCCGATTTGAGAAAGAGAATGGTACAAAAGATGTTGCCTTAGGTTATTTCATGCTTAGTGTGCTAAAGGTGTTAATTAGATTTCAAAATCAGGAGTCGTTTTGCATTTTTCAGTTAATATGTTTCACAAATATCTTAATGTAAGGCAGGAATATGTGTAAACATTTTTGGCTTTTTGAAAAATGTATTCGTGTGGTGGGTGAACTGGCTAAAGCGCCAGGCTAGTGATCCAGCGAACTTGTGACGGGATCGAGCCCACCTGTGACCGGGTGTAAAAACCTTGGAGTCAACTTTGTGTGCAGACTCTTTCAGTGTTTTCACAACCCCTAGTGTACAGTACACAACCCTGTGCACTTAAAAGAACCGCTGGTATATGACCAGATGTTGGGCACATGAATACGTGCAAATTCACTTACAACCAAGTCAGCAGCAAGGGAATGTTGATTGCAACGATAGTTACATGCAGCCATTTCCAGTTCCGGATGAACCAACATAAAATAGCAAATAGCACCACACCGAGGGACCAGGATGGAATCGCAGTACACGCCCCTCGCCATTTCTTTCCCACAAATTCCAATCGGTACAAAAAGCTGCAGGACAATGTCATGCCTATTCCCAGGCCGATGAGTACTCGGAACACAGCAAACATGATCCATGACAAAGAGAATGAAGCTATGAGGTTGCTGATGGTGCTCAAGAGCAGTCCACCGTAGACAACCTTCTTCCGTCCGTATCTGTCTGAACAGTAGCCTGCAATTATGCTGCCGAAAAGAACACCCACCATTTGTATGGAAATGATGGTGTTACTGACCCACGTCTTGCTGCACACGAGGTTCCACTGAAATAGTCAGAACTTGTATAAACAGGCAAAATATAAGATGGATGGATGGATGGATGGATAGATAGATCAAAACGAAGGAAAACGACTGAACCCCACCAATCATGATATTCTAATACTACATCGATATTATTTAAGTGAGTGACTGAGTTCAACTTATAAGGTATATCACTGCAGGTCAGTTTTTTTGTTTTGTTTGTTTGTTCTTCAACGCCGCACTCAGCTGTATTTCAACTATTTTGCTGTGATAACCAACATGAGCATCGAGCTATGATGACATGTGTCAACCAAGTCAGCGAGTCTGACCACCGATCCCTTTAGTTGCCTCTTACGACAAGCATGGGTTGCCGAAGACCAGTTCTAACCCGGATCTTCACGGATGTAAGTCGTTTGAAGCAGTTTACGAAACCCTGAAACCAACGAGAACGAAATGATGCCAACATGCCAAGACTACTTATCCGACCTGATCGAAGATTCACTTAAGATTAGCCGAATTCAACCAAGGCAAACCGTCGCTGTCTAACAGCTACGGCTCACCGAACGGATCACCCATGCCTCTTATTATGTTGGATGCATTTTCATAAACCTTTAGCCATACAGGGATTTCTTAATATCGACTATGACACAATATGACTTACCTCAGATACAATGGTTACCGTTTCGGGCTCAAATATTCTCTGACAAGTCCCATTCCACTGACAATTTTGGTAGCTGTTATTTGTAAAAATGGCGGTCTCATCCTGACCACGTGACTCGCACCACCAATCGGGTTCAACACCTGCAAAAGCCATCATCATCATAGGTGGGACGCTAAGTGCTTTGAGCAACACTAGAATACAGTGGATGCATCTCTGGTAGGGACCGAAAGTGCCCAGCTCTTCGATGAGACTCTCAAGATGCATCGTAAAAGACGGAGGAAAAGCAGTGCGGCAGATTGGTGGTACGGTTCTTCTTTAGCTGACCCTGAAATACATAAGTGTGTTGAACAGATATGTCATAATCCCTAAATGATAGTGAGTCAAGAACACATGTTGACTATGACGTCGGAATCAGGAATATTAGTCTTACCATACTGGTATTGTTAGCAGTATATTGAACAGTTGTCAGCATTAGCAGTATGTCTTGGAATTGAAGGTAGAACATTAGTATAATTATGTAATAGTTGTCAGCATTAGTAGTATGTCTTGGAATTGAAGGTAGAACATTAGTATATGTAATAGTTGTCAGCATTAGTAGCATGTCTTAGTATTGAAGGTAGAACATTAGTATATGTAATAGTTGTCAGCATTAGTAGCATGTCTTGGAATTGAAGGTAGAACATTAGTATAATTATGTAATAGTTGTCAGCATTAGTAGTATGTCTTAGTATTGAAGGTAGAACATTAATATATGTAATAGGTGTCAGCATTAGTAGTATGTCTTAGTATTGGAGGTAGAACATTAGTATATGTAATAGTTGTCAGCATCAGTAGCCTGTCTTAGTATTGGAGGTAGAATATTAGTATATGTAATAGTTGTCAGCATCAGTAGCCTGTCTTAGTATTGGAGGTAGAACATTAGTATATGTAATAGTTGTCAGCATCAGTAGCCTGTCTTAGTATTGAAGGTAGAATATTAGTATATGTAATAGTTGTCAGCATTAGTAGTATGTCTTAGTATTGGAGGTAGAACATTAGTATATGTAATAGTTGTCAGTATCAGTAGCCTGTATTAGTATTGGAGGTAGAATATTAGTATAGGTAATAGGTCTCAGCATTAGTAGCATGTTTTAGTATTGGAGGTAGAATATTAGTATAGGTAATAGGTGTCAGCATTAGTAGCATGTCTTAGTATTGGAGGTAGAACATTAGTATATGTAATAGGTGTCAGCATTAGTAGTATGTCTTAGTATTGGAGGTAGAACATTAGTATATGTAATAGGTGTCAGCATTAGTAGTATGTCTTAGTATTGAAGTCAGCATTAGAACATTAGTATATGTCAATTAGCATGTCAGCATTAGTAGTAATAATGTCTTAGTATTGTAGGTATGAAGTTGTCAGCATTATTGAAGGTAGAACATTAGTATATGTAATAGTTGTCAGCATTAGTAGTATGTCTTAGTATTGGAGGTAGAATATTAGAAGCATGTCTTAGTATAGAACATTAGTATACGTAATAGTTGTCAGCATTAGTAGCATTGGAGGTAGAACATTAGTATACGTAATAAGTGTCAGCATTAGTAGCATGTCTTAGTATTGGAGGTAGAATATTAGTATATGTAGTTGTCAGCATTGGTATGTCTTAGTATGGAGGTAGTAATACGTAATAAGTGTCAGCATTAGTAGTATGTCATTAGTAGTATACGTAATAGTTGTCAACATTAGTAGTATGTCTTAGTATTGAAGTTAGAACATTAGTATATGTAATTAGTGTCAGCATTAGTAGTATGTCTTAGTATTGAAGGTAGAACATTAGTATATGTAATAGTTGTCAGCATTAGTAGTATGTCTTAGTATTGGAGGTAGAATATTAGTATATGTAATAGTTGTCAGCATTAGTATCATGTCTTAGTATTGAAGGTAGAACATTAGTATACGTAATAAGTGTCAGCATTAGTAGCATGTCTTAGTATTGAAGGTAGAATATTAGTATATGTAATAGTTGTCAGCATTAATAGCATGTCTTAGTATTGAAGGTAGAACATTGGTATATGTAATAGTTGTCAGCATTAGTAGTATGTCTTAGTATTGGAGGTAGAATATTAGTATATGTAATAGTTGTCAGCATTAGTAGCATGTCTTAGTATTGAAGGTAGAACATTAGTATACGTAATTGGTGTCAGCATTGGTAGCATGTTTTAGTATTGGAGGTAGAATATTAGTGTATGTAATAGGTGTCAGCATTAGTAGTATCTCTTAGTATTGGAGGTAGAACATTAGTATACGTAATAAGTGTCAGCATTAGTAGCATGTCTTAGTATTGGAGGTAGAATATTAGTATATGTAATAGTTGTCAGCATTGGTAGCATGTCTTAGTATTGGAGGTAGAACATTAGTATATGTAATTAGTGTCAGCATTAGTAGTATGTCTTAGTATTGGAGGTAGAACATTAGTATACGTAATAAGTGTCAGCATTAGTACCATGTCTTAGTATTGGAGGTAGAACATTAGTATACGTAATAGGTGTCAGCATTAGTAGTATGTCTTAGTATTGAAGTTAGAACATTCGTATATGTAATTAGTGTCAGCATTAGTAGTATGTCTTAGTATTGAAGGTAGAACATTAGTATATGTAATAAGTGTCAGCATTAGTAGCATGTCTTAGTATTGGAGGTAGAACATTAGTATATGTAATTAGTGTCAGCATTAGTAGTATGTCTTAGTATTTAAGGTAGAACATTATTGTTAATATTCTAGTATTAGTGAAGGAAAATGTTGGTAATATTCGAGGTAAAATATTTCTCAATGGAAGGAATACAGTTTAAAAACTTAATATATAGGTGTAGTTTCTTTAGTATGTGACAAACTGAAATAACATTGTTCTGACTGACCACATCAAGCTCTCCAAACACTTTAAGATCAAACTTCATGTCAAAATAAACCACCACACATGTACATGTGCTGTGACATAAGTATTAGTATTTCAGTATTAATGAAGGAAAATGTTTGTAATATTCGAGGTAGACTAGGAATGTATGCTGAGCAGGTTTAGTTCGTCAAATTAGTTGGTTGTATTTGTTACTTTAGAATCAATTGAAATCTTTGTGTAGTTTATGCGGTTAAAATATTTCTCAATGGACTGAGACCATATCAAGTATAAGTTGCATCAAACGCTCCAAACAATTAAAGATCAAACTGCAAATGTTTGGCGATATAATTTTTTCTCTTAACTAACACAGGAACGCGTCAAAAATAAACCACCACACATGGGCTGTGTTGAAAGTATTCGCGATGTGTTTTGTTCTTTGTGGTGAAGATGGTCGCCATATGTGGTCTGCGTTTAAGGTATTCATTGTTCTGCGTTGAAGGTGTGATATTACTCAAGCTGCTTAAAATTTCTAAAACATGGCACATCATTATAGAAATGCGAATAGGTTGTTGTCAGATATTTCTATACCAGTTGTTGATAAACTCACTGAATTAGTCAAAGTCATATTCAATAGAATAGAAAGGAAGGTGCATATGCAAAACCGAATAAACCCACTACTTTGTTTCTGTCGGAAATCATTTTTAGAAATCACTTTTCTAGATATTGTAAGGCTTGTTTATCAAACTTGGAGATCCCGCAAAAGTCTGAGGTTTGGTCTGGTCTCATGGCATCGTGCAAGGTTTGTCTTATTGAGAAGGAAGAGATTTCCCCCTTTTTGTTCATGTCTTTTCCTTATCAAATCAGAATCAACTTGATAAATTATATCCCATTATTTTCGTCACTGTCAATGTGGTCTATTATTTACATAACATCATCTGTCTCTTAGACGAGGTAACCAGCATTTGTAAACAAGTAAACAAGTGAAAATAAGCTTTGAAGCAGAATCATAATGTTATTTGTTAAGACATATAAATATCATTGGACGCGTTTAGTTTCGCCTAACATTTAAAATGCTGGCACGGAATGGGCGTGTTTGTAAGAAACTCATAACACGTTGTGAGTGGAATATTAATTCTCAAACTCCATATCCAACAAATCTACAAATCTTAAAGGGGCACTGATCCAGAGCGATTAATGTTTCGCGCCTAGCTGGTGGTCAGTCTCTGCTCCCTAGACCGTGACGGACAAGGGGATTGGACAAGTCTTCACCTTGTAAGAATTTCTTCAACCTAAACAATGGAACAATAAGAACGGCGGATGTCCATTAGATGCCGTTATTTGAAAATATCCCCTGCAGTTCTTGTCTGATTGTAGTATCTTAGCAGTGTAGGCTTGTTTCCGATTTTCTAGTGCGTGGATGGTATGATGACTGATCGAATTAGATTCTGTATCTGTGTCGTTTTACATCGATATTAATCATATCCTGTTTATTGACCTATGATATTAAAAACGCACATTTGATTTATTTGAATCCGTAAACTAAATCAACATCACTTTACCATTGCTAGAAAAATCTGAAAATTTACTTAGGTAAATAGGTATATGCAGTTTATAACTTTACTACAGCAAATGCTTACATGTATTTTTTATTGCATGCAATAGAGCGATTACTACTCCCTAGCTGTAACACATGTTTGGTGGTATAAACCTGCATCTGTTTATTTGTCATCATTCACTGGATGGGCAGTCAATGAATTTATAACAGGTATAATTAGTGGTAACACCACTCAGATTACTCGACAAAGTTAATTCACACGGATATGAATGATTTAGACATAAACTCCATTAATGATTGCGATATCAATGACAGTGCATTGTTAAATGGGACCATAACAAAGGAAGAGATTATATTGCCTCGGTTACAAAACTGATTCTTCCACCATTGATAAAAAAAAATGATATTTATGTAAAACGTTTTAACACGGTTTTAGGCACAGGGAGGTTCACAGAAAGCTGGTTAAATGGAGTAATGCCTATCTATAAACAAATCCAAATAAACCAGAAAATCATAGGCCTATTACACTTTTGAGCTGTCTTGGGAAATTATCTCCATCTGTTTAAAGCAATAGCCTTACAGAGACTCTAATACAATATTATCTGAAGCACAAGAAAAGGGTATTCTACAAAAGACCATATTTTTACAATTTTATCATATTTCGGAACTGCTAAAAAGTAGGGTAAAAAAGATACTAGCATTAAATATTGCTTTCACTGATTTCCAAAAGGCCTTTGATACTGTCTGGCGGGTTGGACTATGGCAAAAATTTATATCAAACAACATAACCGGAAAATGCTTTAAAGTTATTCATAACATGTATCAATATCCTGTGTATCATGTAATGGAGTGAAGACCAGTCTCTTCCAAAGTTTCTTCCCA